GTGCTATGCTGTATTTGCCCCTGAAAAACAACTTCCATCAGAAGTGGCATATTGCAAAGTTGCTATAATTGCAAAGTTCATGTTCAAATCAGCCAGGATTCTAAACATGCAGAACTCTTCTTTCACACACATCTCTTCTCATATACATGCATATGCATGTGCCTGGTGATAGGCCTGAATTGAGGATAAACATGATGGAGAATCAGCTTTTGTAAAAAGACGATTCTATATAAAGATAGCCTCATGTCAAATTCAATCTGCTGACAGCATCATTCAATTTTCTTGGCAAAATTACAGAAGTTCTTTACTGTTATTTTCTTCTAGGGTGTCCTTTAATTTCTCAAACTAGCCTTCAGCCCTGCAATTCCCATATAATTACAAGCCAGAGCCAGTCCTGTTTAATCATCCAGGATATATGTGATGGCCATGGATCTACAGGCGTTCCTTTGTCTCTTTATACTGTATTTCTATTCATATTTCAGCATCCTATTAGCCTGTTAACACTGGGGATATTTGTTCTTGCAAAGTGATCTTAAACTAGACACAATGGAAATATATTTGGTTGCCTAACCACTTGGCTTCTGGAGCAATTTGACATTTTGACTTAAGTAGCTCATCTATGCCATCAATAGTTTCACTTGCACATTCTTTATTTTGCTTCTTCCGTAGACCTCTTCCAAAAGGTCTATCTATCACTTGCAGTTTTCAGTCTTGTGTTTTTGACTGAGATATGTCCACACTGATGCCCCAATACTGTAGTGATCTAGTTTACAAACCAATGTTATTGGAATGTGTCATTTCAAAATCTGGATTAAAGCTTATGCAACTAATACGCTTTCACTTTTTGATTACTTTCTTATATGTAAGATTTATTCTTTTGCACGGAGGGGGGAGCAACCATGTTGACCTGCAATCTTAACCAAAGCATTTTAGATACAGACCAAAGATAGAGGATGAAAGTTATTGTCTCATTTTTACTTCATGGTTCAACTTTGCATTTCATGCACAAAGTTAATCGCCCCAATTAAGAAAAATCTTACTAACATTTCAGTCCTTGGCTTAATTACATTTAACATTAAAAGTTTAAGTATGTGAAGTTTAATTTTCTAAATAATATATTCATTATTGTTTATTCTGCATAAAAAAGAATGACTACCAAGGAAGAAGTGCTTGAAAAGGATCTCAATGCCCTTGATTGGAAGCATATTTTGAAGAATAAATGTAGTATTATAATCATGTCATACAATCTACATGATAGCTTCTCTTTTGTATGTGGAAGATCAAACTTTATAACAAACTTCATCCATATTATATTATGATGTCACAAACTTGTACTCATACTAATTCAGTTAAGCTCAGAATTCAGGGAAACCACTAATATTTATCTTAAAATGTTTGTGGGCTTAAAAAAAAACCCCAGATATTTAGAGAAAGAATATACTAAAAAACGTTTTGTAGTCAAAGGGATTAACAAAGTGCAGATACTTTGAAGCTTGGCAATAATTATCGATTTAAAAAAGATCAATTTCCATAAAATAAAGAAAAAAGACTAATATTTGAAAATGTACTATAGTGAAGTGGACCAGATATCTGCATTTAGCTAGTTATCATCTATGTTTGTATGTATTTTTCTCTGGCCTTCACTTAATCTGAATTCTGATTTAGTAGCTTTTTATTTAATTTGTTCCATGACTTTCTAGCAAAATACCGTAACAACAATATTTCTTTGGGACCCATTGTTTCATCCTACCTCTCTTACTTGATTCCAAGATTCTGCCAGTTATTTCAGCAACATTTCTGCTCACTTCCTCTTACTTTAAATCTGGCTCTTATCCTGCACTTCTCATTAAATTTCTTGGAACTACATTGGATCTCCATCCAAGATTCTTAGAATCTATTTTTGTACTCTATTGTATTTTACTTCATTTATAGTAATTGGAAGGTGGTGTTGGATTAATTAAAGGTTACTTAGAATCAGGAATTAAGCAGTAAAGTGACTAAATCATGGGTCTGCCAAAGTACCTTAGTAATATTACTGGTCAGCTAATATAATATTCTTAAAACTGTTTATTTGGAAATTCCACTGAGTGGACAAGGGTATGTGCATACAACTGCAGAATTTATCATTAAAACTAACTATAGCAAAAACAGAAATGAAATGTAGAATAAAACAAAAATGTAACATTAAAAACAGTTCCTCTAAATATTCCCTATTAAAATTAAATTAAATTTAGGATATGGCAGGTATCTCAATTAGTTTTCTGATATCACATGTTCGAATAATGCTATACAAACTATTCTAAAACACACAATTAAAAATGAACATTCCATTGAAATAATTATTGTAAAATAAGTTAATAAAATTTATCTATTGCAGTGCCTTTTCTGTAATCTGAATAAAACTAAAAACATGCCTGGCAACTGTTCAGAAAAGAAGGCTCTCTTTGAAGGGGTGCAATGCATTGCAACAAAAATACTAGAGAATCCTTTCCCTATTTTTAAGTACAACAGTAACAAATCATCTGTCTTTTTGGTCCTCCATGTCCTTCAATTGAAATTAGATTTAGTGTGGCAACACTGCCCTATCGGATAGGGTACATCTGGTAAGTTAAACAAATACACACCCCAATGTTAAATCATATTTCATGATATGCACTAAAAGAATAACCCATCCATAATTCAGAGTTACAGACATAAAATTTGTTTCCTAGCCTAAGAAATGTAATACAGTATGTATATAAACATATAGATACATATTCAATTTCTACTTACCTGCATTCCTTTAAACCATAATATATAATTTAAAGTGTAGGTGAGAATGACCCATGCTCCAAATGCATATAGCTGGATTTTTTTTTTCTTAGCAGTAAACTACATTCTGAAATAGCTGCACCCAATACTGGCATTGCACAAAATAATCAGACTTACTGATTTTTTTCTCCTCTCTCCCAAAAGGATAACAGCACAGCTGGCCCATGATATCTACTGTTTGGTTTTCTTCCTCGTCCTTTCAGTATGCACCGCCCCAAACTGTAAACTGGATGTTGCTCTCGACTCTGAAGGCAAACTGTTCATTCTACTCAGAGGAACACAGAAAGGCGCGCGCACATACACACACACACTGAGGGGAGGGAAAGAGAAAGCAGCCAGCTCTCTGCTGTAAAGAATGAGAAAGGCTCCACCTCTTTGTCCTCGGCACTGATAGGTGTAGAGAAGGAAAACTATTCCTACCATCTGGAGGGGTTTACAGTGACACTATTTTATGCATACACACATGGGTGCTTCACACATTTCACAATTTCTTTGCACAGGAATTTAGAATGTCAAAATACAGTACCTTGTCACCATCAAGAACTGGTTATATTAATAGCTAGTTTTAAATCTTACAGTTGGGACAATGTTAGAGGCAGAGTTTCCTTCTCAATTTTTTTTTCTCGTCCTTCTATGACTCAAAAGCTGTAATACTTGCAGAAATATAAGAGATACAATATTTTCCATTACTTTATCTCAATTTTTTTTTTAAATCCATGTAATTTTATAACCCTACCTCACTTAAAGCTTATGAAGATGCAGGAATGCAACCAGAGACGGGCAAAATCTTTAACAGATTAACAGAGTTGGAAGGGACCTTATAGGTCATTTAGTCCAACCCCCCGCTCAAGCAGGAGACCCTATACCATTTCTGACAAATAGCAGTCCAATCTTTTCTTGAAAGTCTCAAGTGATGAAGCTCCCACAATTTCTGAAGGCAAGTTATTCCATTGGCATATATCTATATCTATATCTATAATATCTATATCTATCTATATCTATATAAGCCAATTTATATTTATATATATAAAGTATATATATATTTCCCAATTGTTAAGGTCGCAGACAATACATTGGTACCTCAGTACTCGTTCTTAATTGGTTCTGGGAGGTGGGATGAGTATTAAAAAGGATGAGTACCAAATAAACCATATGACTTACCACATGTCACTTTGTTTCGGCCAGGAAGGACCTCCTATCTGTCCCTTTTCCTATGTCAAAGACCTTCCCAGTATGGTCAACTTCCTGTCTGCCCCTATGGCTGTCCCTCACTTCCTTTTGCAGTGCATCGAGTACTAAACAAACAATGAGTACCGGAACAACATTTTCACGTCCAAATTCATTAAGTACCAAATTCAACAAGTTTTGAAGTAGTCGAGTACCGAGGCACCACTGTATTAAATCTTTTTCTAGACTTCAACTAATACTACATGCTTGATAATGCTTGGTTCTGCTTATGTGACTAATCATGGGGTGGGGGGACATTAAAAGTGAGAAAATGCCTAACAGGAGATGGGACATGCCCTGAAGTAGTGCTCTATAGACAGAAGCAGCCACCAATACTGAAGCAATGAGGGCAAAAGTTGAAAATCCACTATTGTTTGACCTTGTCCTGGCAGAACAACATTTTATACATCAGTCATTCTGAAAATTCTTTTGATAATTTTATTTAAGAGAGAGGCTGCCTGGCCTCAACATATGGGATTCTACACCATAGCTTAGCTTAGCTTTCACCACATGCAGTGCTCACGCAGTCTAATTTAACTTTGCAGCCCCAAATTCCAGCAAAATCAATAATTTCCCATCACTATCAGAAAAGTAATTAATATTTCACTGCAACCTCTAGCGTTCCCCTTATGAATTACCTTAAACAATTGTAAGGTAATTGCTAAACTCATAGTCCAATAGGGATAATGTGATGATACAACTGATACTCGGTTCTCTTAATCTTTAATAGTGAAAGAAATTCAAAGGAAAAAAAAACATTGATTACAGGATAACAAGTTATGTACTAAACCTCTATCTTATTCTTTCTGTGTCTTTACAGAATTTCTTCTTTGCAGTATCATCCACAAACAAAAACAGAGGAGTATTATTTTTAAATATTGACTCACAACTGTTCTTTAAAACAATGTGAACAGAACACCCTGTTCTGAGAACGCTGAGAATTGTTCCAAGATCATTTGGTATCTTATCAAGGACAGAAGTCAGAAGGTTCTTTCATGGAAATACTAGCGTGATACTTTTCAGGCAAATATTATATGGTACTTATAAATTATTCTGATATGGCAGGATGGACTATAAAACTCTATCATGCATATGAACAGCTTCATCTACATTTTGTAATAAAGCTGCTTAAGCAAAAACTGTCAGCCTGTCAAATCACATGTTAAAAAAAGCACATGACCCATATTCTAAAGAACAAATGAATTAAACATGACTACTTAACACACATCTACAGGGCATAAGTAAAAGCCTGTCATTAAAGCAAAAGAAAATACGTCTGGTGGGAATTTCTTTCATTTTACTCTTTTCAGGAGACTAATGCCCTATTTATTTAAAAAGGAAACTAACTGGGAAAAACGCTAGAAGTGTATTTTTTGTTTCATTTTACAACTGTGAAGTGACAATAGATAGTTGATTTCTAAGAGTATTTAATGAAATATGTCCAAATAATTTCAGCATGAAGAAAAATGTGGGTTTATAATTCTTATACTGAATTTAATAAAAGTTCACTATGAAAACTGTCAGTGGTGCAAAATGATGTAATAAATATACCATCAGGTTTTGCTAAATAAATCTATTTATTATAATTTCACTGTTTTTATACATTTTATTCTATAGCTATCCTTCATTCTATATCTATGTTTATTTACAATTTTTAAACACCTGCATAAAAATTCATGCATATTCTTTTTCCTCAAATGCAAACTTCCTGAATAAAATGATATTTTGTCCATTATCTTTTAAAATATACCATTTTGTGTACTTTAGTACACAGCTTTATGCAGATAGTCCTCAACTTACGACAGTTCACTTAGTGAGTGTTCAAAGTTACAATGGCATTGAAAAAAGTGACTTATGACTATTTTTCAGTTACTACCTATGAAACATCTCCATGATAATGTAATCAAAATCCAGATGCTTGGAAACTGGTTCACACTTATGACCATTGCTACGTCCCAAGGTCATGTGATCACCATTTGCGACTTTCTGACAAGCAAAGTCAATAGGGAAGCCAGATTCACTTAACAACTTTGGCAAGAAAGGTCGTAAAATGGGGCAAAATTCACTTAACAAATGTCTCACTTAACAACAGAATTTTTGGGCTCAATTGTGGTCATAAGTCGAGGACTACCTGTACTCTGTTTTGATTGAAAAACAGCATCACAGAACTCATAAAGATACAAAAATAGATAACTGCATTTCTCCACGCAAATCTATTCAAGAAATACTGTTTAGAAATGTATGCTTTAAAAGTTGAGCCGAACAAATTTATCTCCCAGCCCTATTAACAGATCACATTGGTTTCCTGAAGCCACTGAATAAGTTTAAGCAAGACATTATCTCTCCAATGCATTCCTCCATCTGCATCATGATGACAAGCCGTAGCTCCCACAATGCTTTAAAAGACCCTTCTGAATAGCATCCTTGTAATCATTTTAATTTTGGTAGCATTTTCTTTTTATCTTGAGTGTTAAGTATATTTGTTCTTGTTCTAGGTATCTATCAGTAAAATAAAATCAAAATTTATCATGGTCATGGCTACCTTTTCTGTTATAATATTCCTTCCTTTTGAATTGCAGGTCTGGCAAAAGGAAGACCAAGTGAAAAAACAAAAAACTCATTCTATAAGTAAATTGTTGAGTGCTAACTCAAACTCAAAGAACGAACAAACAAACAAAAAGAAGAAACATTAGAGCCAGGGATGTGAGGGAAACAAGATTCTTTTTTGTTGTTGTTCAGATTCATATGGAAGCTGAAGACCATTGTGGCTACACTATTCTGGACCTGAACTAGTTTTTATGAGCATTACATATTTTTTGGGGTTCTGTGATTTTTATTCATTAAACAAGATTTAATTGCTTCTTAGATTCTACTGATTCTCACAAAGTTCTTTAAACGTGCACCATCTATTTATGTAAGAGTTCAAATTTCTTGTTAGGAATTTTCATTCCCTTATGTATTTAGTTCATTAAAACTACAGTGACATTTCAAAACAGAAATCATCCATTTGTATGGTATTTTTACATGAACACAAATGTACATTATCAATTCCTTAAAAAAAATATTTGAGATTTCAAAAAATGTTTTAAACTTTAAATATGCATATGTATGTATATCCCCCCTAAAGAGGAAAAAAAGAATAACCTCCTTTTTTCACCACATTAAGTTACTACTTTTTAAATAAAGATTTTCTGAATAAATCAAGATGGTTGCATTCATGCAATAACCTGAGCCATAATCCATAGCTTATACATCACAGCAATTTTGTTCAGATACTTCATTAAGATAAACCCAAGCAAGATACTAACCATTATCAATTAGTATAATATATCAACCCAATGGAGGATTCTCTTTTATAGTCCTCTGTTACTTATGGTAATTGGGACCAGAATTTCCACTGATAAGTGATGTGGACCTAACCTCACCATTTAGAAATAGCAATCTTAGAAGTCCTTATTGCTGTCATTAAGTGAGGTACATGGGTTATTAACTGAGAACCTCCTCACAACTTTCTGTTGACTTCCAATAACCAAAGTCAACAGGGAAGCCAGCAGGAAGTTGCAAGTCCCAGGTAGTTTGCAAACAGGCTGACAGACAGGTAACTGGCTGCTACCAGTAGATGGGAAAGGGTGCATACGGATATGTGAGGGGCAGGGAGGCACAAGCACAGAGGGATTTGGGATGGCTGCTGCAGGGTGGGGTGCACAAGGTGGGGGATGGCGTAAGTGTCACAGGACTTGAGGTTGCTATTGGAGAGTGCAAATGGGACGAGTACAGCAGGAGCACAGTGGGGCTTGGGTGGCTGCTGTTAGATGTGGGTAACTTACCAGAACAATTTTCAATTTTACTTACTGGCTTTCCCATTGACTTTGCTTGTGGAAAGCTGGCAGGGAAGGTTGCAAATAGCAGTCATGTGACTGTGGAACACTGCAAACATTGTTAAGTGCAAGCAGTTGCCAAGTGCCCAGATTATGATCATGTGACTGGCCAATTGCTGGGAGAATTGGAACTTCAAAGACCAGTTATAGTTAATACTCATTCAGCACCATTGTAACTTTGAATGGTTGCTGAACAAGTGGTAATGAATCGAGGATTAGCTATATACTTAAACATGGTAGGTGCATCTATAACACAAAGATTTAAAAAGCTCCGTTAGAGAGATTACAATATATTTATTTCAGATTCAGTACTGGAGTTCTCTGACTTCCTTAAGAATAGATTTAGTCTTGGGAATTCTTCCAACAACAAAAGTACATCGTGAAAATTTCCTTGTAAAAAGTTCACTTTTCATGAAATCACTTGGTATTCCTGAAAGACTCCTTTGCCTCCTTTGCTTCCTGTGCACAATGCACAAAGAGTTATATGATAGTAAAAGTCACAATGCCTGAATTGTTACAAATGCCAAATCATCAATATAGGGCTGTATACCCAGGAGTGTTTACAGGGTTAACAGCATCAAAATAGCAACTTGCCTCTACTTACATGGGGTGGAGGGAGCAATTAGATTACTCCAATAGCTTCCACTATTTTGAATCAGCTAACATTGCCAATGGATATCTCAAACGGTACTATGTTCTACAGCAAAGAATTTGATTCCTTAAACTATAAAGCAGATTTATTTATTTGTATCCCACCTTTTATTATTATTTTTAGAATTAACTCAAGACAGTGAACATATCCAACACACCATCTTTCTCCTATTTTCCCAACAACAACTCTGTGAGGTAGGCTAAGAATGACTTGCCCAAGGTCATGGCTAAAGTAAGATTAGAACTCATAGTCTCTTGCTTTCTAGCCTAGTTGCTCTAACTACTAGACAAAACTGGCTCTCAGATCTTAAAACAATATTTTAATGTCCATTTAAAAATTAGGCCAAAGAAACCTGTCTTATTTGAAAAGTTCTTCTGCCCTTTCTCCTGAGTCTACTGACAGAAGTAAGTTAAACCTCCACATTGTGGTTTCTCAACAATGTAAACTACCTTTCTCAAAGAGTTTTAACTGTATCTAATAATATATTTTGGAGATGAATCCTCTAAATCAAAAGCAAAAAGGGCCCCCAAATCTTTCAGTTTTTCACTGCAGGATGACTCTTTTTAAGATCAACCTTTATACCAAATCAGAGCAATTTAGCCCAGCAAAATATGACCAATGTATCTATTTATAACTCTTTATGCGTTCCTCAACAATAACACAGCAATCCTAAAATATTTTCAGAATTGGGCCAGAGTGCTTGATCAAATCAAAACGGATATTTTTAGAGCATTAGCTCATAACCTGAATGATAGACCAATGCAGTTAAAAGAAAATCTATTAGCTAAAGCAGACAAACTTCAAAGAAAGCTTTATCTTAATGCTTTGAGATAAGATCATTCCATGGTGACACATCATCATTAACCTTTTGTAACTTTTAACCAAATACCCTAACATGTTTTAACAGATTAGCCTTGTTGCCATTTATTTATTCTGAGAATTAAGCTTTTAATTCCTCCTTGATTCAGTTCTTCGCATTTTCAAATTACAGTATTGAATATACAAACCCTTGATTTACAAGACATTATTCTTTTAAATAAAAGGTATGGTATTTGAATGAGAAATCTGTTCACTGTAAATGGAGTTTTAAACTAAGTATTTATTTTATATTAAAAATCAAAGGGGAAAAAGTCTCAATCAAATGAAAATTAAATCAAATTATTTGCTGACCCTGAAGTATACTGTTAAAATTGTTTTTTACACGTTGTATTAGTACATCAATGTAAAATTGATACATAATATTGAATAATAAATTATTTTACTATTTAATGGCATCTTAGGGTTTTAATTATTATAGAGCTAATAAATATCCAAGATGTAGTTAATATTATCAATTATCTCAAAGCACAGCTAAAACTAATTAATTAGTTATTGCCTACGGTCCTTTCCATCAATAAATTCATGAAGTATTTTTAAAGATTATGGTATATTATTTGTTAAGTATGCTTGCTGTCCAAATAGATAAAAGTGGAGTTCTTAACATCTAATTCCTTAACATATTTTTATTTTTAATTTCAGATAATTTTGAGATCATTGCATAAAACATTTGGTTTTGTGTTTTTCTGCATTTTTTTCAAACACTTACTGCAATCTTCTGGTTTACAAATCAATCTAAAACATTTTTGATCTAAAATTTATTAGCAGTTGCTAGTTACACAATCACAGTATACATACATAAAGGGATCCCAAGATTCAGTATTGCAATTTAAACATTCTAGTAAAAAGACCCTTATACTGCAGAACAAATTCCGCTTTTGATTATTCTCAACCTCAGTTTTTTAAAGCCATATTAAAGTGTTGATTACTTGAGGGACCACCTGTCTCCCATAACATCTGTCCAGTCAATTCAATTCTGCATTCTTTCATATGTTTTAGTTTGCACAGATGGCTTATCGTAGGTGGCACATTTCTCCTGATATTTTGGTTAAAAATCTGAGGTTGACTTATATGTGGATGGGTTTATATGAGTTTACTGTATACACATTGTTACTTTAGAGAAGTGTACTGCCATATGTTTTCATAGATAAGCCCATCCATGAATAAACTGAACCCAATTTGGGGGGTGTATTTTGGCATCGAAAATTCTTGGCTTTTCTGCAAGTTTACATAGTACACAGTACTTGTTTGCCCATCAAACTGGAGGCTAGAAATTTCCTCTGCAAAAAGATTTTAAACTTTGTAAAACTAGTTTCTCTTTTCCTTTCATTCTCCCTGCTCCTCTTTTGACATTCCCATTTGCTGACTACAAGGCTGAAGTTATAAAGAACCAGCTCTATTTCTGTACAAATCTTAGCTCTGAAGTTTAATGGAAGAAGATCAAATGAAAGGCCAATTCAATGCTGCTTCTCTCTGTGATATAAGAACATCTGCACTTGCAAGCTGGGTAAACCACCTTTTGACAGTGAAAGAGTCAGCTATGCTCTTCTATGAGAAGGCAAAAAAAAAAAATCTTTAGAAACAAAGATATAATGCTCTGGAAAAAATGCTGGCCTATTTTTTAAAATATGCATTTAGGTGTTTTTTTTAAAGCAATAGTTTTATGTACATAGAAACTGGAAAAGAAAGACAAGTTCTGCCATATGTATATTGCTAGTTAAATATGACTGGGTGTACAGATAATCCTTAAATTACGAATGTAATACAGCCTGCCAATTACATTTGTAACCCAAGTTTTCCCTGCTTTTCCCAATGCATTCGCTAATCAACATGGAGCCCAATGAAACAAAGGAAACAAGCTCCGTGTTGACTGGCTGCCACATCCCAATCCCTGAAGCTGCTCATTCGAACTAGCCAGTCAGCAGCAAGCAGGAGGCTGCTCACCAGTGGCCAGACTGGGCCCAAATAAAGCCTGCAGGCCCTCATGGCAAAGAAGCCGGGTTTTTATTCAGATGGGGTGAAGCTGTTTTCCTTACATCTCACGTTCTTACAGCTTCACTGACTTCTGAATAAAAGACTTTGGCTTCTCTGCCATGTGGGTCATCCTCTTTTGGAGCTCTGAGAAGTAAGTACAGTAAAGCCATGGGAAATTGGGTGGGGATGAGTAAGTGGAAAACAAAGCAGGCACAGTGCCTGTGGATACCTGGCGGGGTAGGATAGGGGGAAAAGTAGGCAGTGGGCATGTTGCAACATCTTTGCAGTCAGTCATAAGGGCAAATGACTACTGTGATGCTGCAACATAAGGAACATTGGGACCGGATTGAAAATACTTTTTTGGGGGGGAGGGTGTCATAATTTTGAACTGTCACTAATTGAATTGTCATACCTTGAGGAATACTTGCATTAACAGTTTTTCAGCTGCTCCTTCCAAAAAGGTTTTGCATGTATTTTCTTTTTACTATTTTATTTCTTTTGTGTTTCTCAGGACTCTTGCAAGAATGCTACAGCTATTGCCTTGACCAAACTATGCTCCTGGCCATTCAACTGTAGTTTTCATAGCTGTTTGTGTAATGCACCATGGTTACTTCTTATTATCCTCGATGCTGAGTAGAAACACACCATTTAGCCCATTCTGTTCCAGCTTTGGAGGTGTTTCATATCAGGGATGAAGACAGTTCTTACAGGCAGACCACTCACAATTGCATGATTCCAGAAATCTCCTGTAGTACATATCCTTTCCATAGCTCTTCTCTGGATTCTTCCAGTCATTAAATCAACTGGATCCCTTGGTCACTCATTGCCAGTACAGCCATTTCCATGCAGTGCTTTTTGGAGACAGTCTTTGCTTAAAATAAATATATTCCCATTTATTTTACTTGACATCCCTTTTAGGAGCCTGTCATTTGTTACACAAACTTTCCCCACTCTTTACTAGGGACAGTGTTTTCCTATCAGCAAGAATCACTTTCTGGAAGGGGGAAACAAAGCAAAGGGAATCTATCAAGTTCCTTTCTTTATGTGGCCTGCAGTAAATAAATAACAGCACCATTTGCTGACCTTGTTACTGTAGCAGAATAGGATTCTACAGAATAGAAGAGGCAATTCTTTTGCTGGCTCAAGGACAGCTGCATAACACTTCAAATCAACTGTGAGAAACAGTCCTATTTCTATTCCGTTTCCATCAACTTGGTTACAGCAGAAAAAAGATAAGCAGATTCCAAATATATCTTTTAGCCTTTCCTCCCTAAAGCATGACAGAGAAAGCAATTTTAATGTGCAATTATAGATCTAATTTATCAGTTTGTGAAGTAGGCAGTTTTTCAAAATGAAAATACTACCTTGATAACTGGGTATTGGAACTGTCAGTCAAAGAATGATTAACATTTGGCCGCACATTTCCATTTAAATTCTAGAGGAAAGTGAGGTGAAGAAACAGAGATTTGGTGACAGGTTTGAGAAGTCTATAGCCTCAACCCAATGAAAGTCTCCTACTATCACTGTGAACAGATAAAAATTAAATCCCTGACATATTCTTAAGAAGGGCCATATTCTAGAGCAAGATTTGAATTGTTGGATTCTATGGCTAAATATTGGTATTTCTATCACCTGCCACATCACGTGAAGTACCTCAGTTGTTGAAGATATTGTTCATGGTTTTTTTTTACTGTCAACTGCTTAGATTTACATATTTAACATCTCTCCTTGAAAAGATGGCCCACTGGGATCTGAATCGCAGATTGTTCTATTTCCTCCTGGGCTTTAAACTAGATATTGTAAGCAGAATTGCTAAGTTTCTAGTTAAGGCACCAATTGCATTGAACAGATCAGGATATCCTGTAAAGATAGGATATCCTATTTATCTGAATGCTGATTCTTTGTATTTATAACATATGTATTTTATTACTATATTTTCTTTGGTATATTTTACTCTAGAATTAAATCTTGTATTTTATTTTATGATTTGGACATAAGACTAATCAATAAACTACCACTACGTACAAATATTTATTGATATATAGATATTTTGTAGAACAATTAGGAGGCATCTTGCTGTGAAAGTAAAGAGAGGTCAAAGTAAATTATAAACTTAAAGGGAATGCTTTTACAGTTCTTTTTACAGAAGAATTGTTTTACTCTGTTTTACTCCAAAGCATGTTACCTTTTATACATGCATATGTATATACAAATGCACATAGGGATACATAAGAATGTACACATCACAAACATTAAAAAAATCCAAATCAGGGAAGTATTTGGTGGTGACAGAAAAACCAATAGATTCTATAATAATCTCCCCAGATTACTGAAATTATGCTGCAGTGCTGAAACACAAAAAAATGAGTAATCAGGGTGTGCCACACAGCCACTTTTCTAAGAGCATTGCTTGAAGACAGGGCAACACTGTATAAAAAAGCTTCAAAGCCTTATGACAGCCCTAGTACTTAAGCTTTCATTCTTATTGTTGTATTCACTTGCAAAATTCTATAAATAAATCAGCAAAGATTTTACACATACAATATATTCTGCATTATTAGATAGCATAGAAAAGATTAAGAAATAGGTTTTCTTACCCACTACAATTGAGGATTCACAATGATAGTAGCCATTGGGCTGCTTTTTTTTCAACATTGAGCAAAGATCTAGACGGTTCATAAGTTCATCTCCAAAATGATGACTTTTGAAATTTGCAAACATGCTTGAATCAATTCTCTTCACTCCCTTGTAACATCAAAGAAAAAGCACAGAGAGAAGAAGAGAAAGTGAACATCAGAAACATTTCAAAGAATAACCTAAAAATGTGAATCTTCAGGTAGTACTAGTTTAGATCTCATTAAATTTTAAAATAAAGTTGATTATTTCCTAGCTAAAGACCTAATTTAGAAAACCACTAGAGCTGTGGGAATATATTAAGCATTAAATTTCACTACTATAGTTTAACCAATAAGATTAGTATCTTCTTAAAGTAGCCTTTTGTCTGACAAAGAAAAAGATCAGCACTGTAGACTGAAACCCGCTATCAGTTGTAAGTACAATCTCTGATGGATCATGTGTACCCTGTTCATTAGTACAATTCTTTTAATTGGTAAATAATATAATTAGCAACTGAGGTTAATACTAGACTCATAGCTGATCTCTGAAAGCTCCAGGCTTTGCTGTTATATTCCCAGCTGTTCCTGGCAGTTCAGCTATATCATGCAGGTAATGGCAAGAGTGAAAAGATGCAGTATGTTTTCATGTTGTTTGAACTCTTCCTCTGGGCAGTTGTGCAGATTAAGCTGTGCAGGCAGTACAACCTTAGATCCCTACCTATACTCTACTGCTCTCTTGTGATGAGAAGCTCATGAGGTGTTGAAGAATCAGTGCCAATAGATTTGCACATCAGGATTTCAATCGTCTCTACACTCTCCACTAAAATAAACAAGAATTGGTGCCCATGTTTGGGTTACTTTTTCCTAATTCTTTACCTTTTTATGGATTTCTGTGTTGAATAATGGAAATCAGCTCAATATTTTGTTATTTCTTCTGTAATCTGACTGTTACTAAAAATATGGATAACAAAACAAGTTTTTTGTTCTTTTCTTTTATTCTATCTCTATTTCCCCCTTTTCTCAGTTGTTTCCCTGTGTTTATTTCCCAATAGTAGTCCTTTGAGATTTTCCTGTATGGCATTTTGGGTAGGATTCTAAAAATGTGTTAAGGATTGCAGAGAATTGTAAACTCAGCTCTCGGTCCCAACTATTTAGAATAGTTATATCTTTCCAGGATCAAGCAGATGCCTTTCGTAACAGCTACACAATTTTGAGAAAAGGTGTGACTACTCTAATAAGTTGCAGGCAGGTGCTGTACTCATGTTCCCATATACATAACAGAATTTTACATAACTGTACTTTACATAACTGAATCTGAACACAACTTTCACAATCTAGTCCAATTTTTTTTAAAAAAGTTAATTATGACAATTACTGCCATTTGTGATAGGAAGGGACTTCTGCTACTCTATTTGAAAAGTATTATATAAGTGAACAGAACAACCACCAACTGCATAATACTAAATGTTACGATATCAACCTGGCATCTAGTACCTAAAGAAAGAAACCAATATCAATTATTGACATTCAATAATTTGAAATGATTTCCTACTAAGTGATATAACATGTACTTCAAAATACAGGCATATCATAAATGTAATTTTTTTAATATAATATTTAAAATAAAATAGGCAGAAAAAGACTTATAATCAGCTTTAAATTTAATTCACTCAAGGCACAAATGACCAGATTCAAACTATCATATTTGGGGACATTATCTACTTCTTTAGAAAAGTCTATTAAGTTGCTAAATGTGGTAGGAAAGAGAAGAGGACAAGGTGCATGAACTCATTTATAACAGCAATGGGTGCAATTTTTCAAAGAACCAAAAGATCAGGTTAGGGGCACCTACCTATATGGCTTCGAAGAATCAAAATTGGCTGAATAGCACATAATAATCAATTATCATATTTTTTGCTTAAAGTTATCTATAAATAAGTGTTATACTTTTTCTTTCTTCTAGCAATGATTTATTTTGAGCACAATTTCTTGCACAAGAACCAAGCAACTCTCAGAAAAATAAGGGGACATATGAGATTTAGCACTAACTACTATATGATAGATAGCTCTGTTTTGGTTAGTGCCTGAAATGCGGCTGACATCTAGTGGTGCATCATGTGTGCTGCATATGAGCTGCTTCTTGATATCTCATCCCCAGCTCCTTTTAGTCCATAGCAAGTGTTTCTAAATCAATAACTATGGACAGAGGCTACTTAACCACCCCCACTGCCACTACAATACACTGTAATAGCATAATACAATATTTGCATTCCATCAACTACCAAGGGATTTAAACAAATGAGAAAAAGGAGACAAACTAACCCTTTTAATGAGGGGTCCTTGGTGCTCTCTGAGCTGGTTGTTTTCTTGCAGACATTTCATTACCCAAACTAGGTAACATCATCAGTGCACTGAAACATCTGCAAGTAAAAAAACCCAGCTCAGAGAGTACCAAGGACCCCTCATTTCAACCATGAATTACAAATATTCTCCTTTATTGGTAACTCCTCTAAATATGAAAAGCTGGTCCCTTTTCCTAATTTTAACAAGAGAATTTCCAAAACTGGAAAATACAGTCTCATCTTCCTCTATAGATTGAACATTCCTCATCTTATGTCTAAGACATCTATATGAAGGACTGGTTTCCTATCCAACCTTTGTTATCCCATTGTTTAACTCAGAGATGTTTCTGTGAAAAAGAAAGGCTTTGTGTAAATGTCTTACTCCAAATAAGCTCCAAAGTTAATTCAAAAACTAATTTTCATTCATGAGGGGGGGAGCAGAAACATGTAAGTAAGCCCTCTCCCCTCAAGATGCTGGCAATGAAGCTATCTGAAAAGAATTTTATTTTGATGTCATGGCATGCTAAATGGCTCCCTTGAGTCAGGTTAGTCTCTTCACCCATCTCAAAGCATTTTTTCTGCTAGGTGACAACCCTTCCAATTTTGTTTTGACAATGACAGAAAAGAGTCTGGAGAACAAACACGGGGGGGGGGCTCTTTGGAATGCTGAAAGTGAGAGAAAATTGTGAGAGAATTTATTTAGGGAAAAGAAATTATTTAGGAGGAATTTGAGGGGTGTTTGTGTGTGTGCACATGTGCTGTTCCCCATTGCTCGTGTGCCTTGGGGCATGGCGAGCTGATCTTTTTTGATTGGCAGCAGTGGGGTTAGGCCTGAAATGGAGGCCTAGGCCTCCATTTCAGGCCTAGTCTCAGTGTTGCTATCAAGTGCTGCTGTTCAGTGGGGCCAACATGGAGGAGAGACGGAGGGAAGGTAAAGAATTTCTCTTTTGGTCAGGATGGTAGTAGTGTGATACGCCAACTGAGTCAAGTTAGGCAATTTTACATTTTTCACATGCCAAGCCCCAAAATTGCCATCGCTGCCCTAGAGGCTCTGTCAAAAGCAAGAAGTTCACTTTATTTAAAACCAATACAGCCATCCTGGAATATTTATAAGCAAAGGATCACAAGACTTCAATGGATGACTAGAGATGATGGCAAAATGCTTTACTTCTATGAGAAAATGCAAGAGACAAATTCAGAAAATAAATGTTATATAAAATGGGCTTTGATCGGAAAGTATTAGCAAGGTATTTTTGCAACTGTATTGCAACAGCATGCATAGGAAACATGCCAGTGTATGTACCTGTGTGGATACCTGTCTGTAAAATAAGGCTATGCATCAATCAGAAATTATTCAAAAGAGATATAGTACACTGAACATATAAGAATGCAAGCATGGCATTTCAGCAAAGGAATTTTCATCTTTTCCAAATAACTTTTAAAGCATGCACAAGTCTAAAATATAGTACATGCATATAAATGTAAGAATAAAAAATGGTATGAATTTAGGAAATATTGATCAAGCTAGTTTACCGCACTGGAGTAATTAGAAAATACTGTAAATGGAAGTCCACTTTAGAAAGGGGACAGTTAGCAACACTAGTACAAAACCTCTTAATTCAACAAGGGATAAAGATAAAATGAGGTGTTCTGCATGAAAAATATCTACTTTCAGTACTAAAAAGTGGCTTGTAGACAGATGAGGAATAGATTAACACTGCCATGGTATCTCTATTAGCAGGATACTTATGAGGAAACCCGTTCATGCAGAATCTGGCTACTTTAGGTTTGGGACCAGGAATGCATTGGGGATTTTGTTAGTGTACTACTCGTCCTGATGCTGAAGGAAATTTCTATCAAGTTTATTTTAGATGTCATTTTCAAGTTTTAGAAGCATCTGGGCTTATTGTGCTGGGAGACTTCAATATCCACAGTGGAGCTGGTATGTCTGGGGTAGTTTATTTATTTATTTATTTATTTTAGTCAGATTTATATGCCGCCCTTCTCCCGTAGGACTCGGGGCGGCTCACAACAATAGAACAACCCGACAATAAGTGAAAATTAAATAATATTAAAACCAATTTCAAATTCCCAAATCCCCAAGTTAAAATCCGCGGCAGATCAGGGAAGTTGGTGGAAGAGCCATGTCGGAAAGTGCGGAGGTCGGGGGCCGTAAGGAGCTCGGTGGGCAACCTATTCCAGAGGGTCAGTGCGACCACAGAGAACGCCCTCATCCTGGGACCGCCAGCCAGCACTGTCTAGCTGAGGGGACCCGGAGGAGGGCAGCCCTATGTGAGCGCACTGGGCAGTGGGAGGCCGGTAGGAGGTGATCCTGCAAATACCCCATGCCCGTGCCATGAAGGGCTTTATAGGTGAGTATCAGCACCTTGAAGCAGATCTGGAGGACCACCGGCAACCAGTGCAGCTCACGCAATAGTGGTGTTATATGGGAGTAGCGGGACGCACCCGTAACTACTCGCGTGCCCACATTCTGAACCAGTTGAGCCTCCGGGTACACCCCAAGGGCAGCCCCATGTGGAGGGCATTGCAGTAATCCAACCAAGAGATAATGAGAGCATGAGTGACCGTACGGAGGGCATCCCTGTCTAGAAAAGGGCGTAACTGACGCACCAGGCGAACCTGTGCAAATGCCCCCCTTGTCACGGCCGTTAGATGGTCCATTAAAGACAGCCGTGAATCAAGGAGGACGCCAAGATTACGAACCCTATCCGAGGGAGCAAGACAATCCCCTCCCATCGACAGTGATGGGGAAGCTAGATCATTGGAC